ACCGTGTGCGCTGCTGCAGTGATGGAGAAAGGTAGACGTTCACTACGTCGTCCAGACTGGAGCAGTGACCCGAGAGTTGCTGATCTCGGTGCTAAGCGCTGCTGTGTCGCACGCACGCACACACAACAGCTAGCGGGCACGGGGCGGCCCGCTAGAAGACGGATGACCAGGCCGCCTGACATTGCGTGGCCTGCAACCCGCACAACAGCTGGCACTATCACATTGCGTGCGCCCCAGGGGCAGTGCAGAGACCCACATACCGGCTTCCCTGCTTCGCTAGTCGATATATTATGCCCGGAACCATGTCTTCAAGCGAACCATCACAGCCATGCCACGGCCACGACCTCCCATTTTTACAGTTTTTGCGAGAATTAATTTTGTGAACCTAAACAGGAGCCGATATTGTAAAATACTCTTACGGTTTTATTAAACATTGTTTTAATAATGTTGTCTAATTTTTTCAACATAAAAAACGGTATAATCTTAACTTATTATTAAACTAACAAATTCTCATTCATTAATTAATTTTATAAAAGTATACCACTTTCTGTGATGAAAAAAATAGACTATATAGTAAAAACACTTTTTAACAAAATTGTAAGAGGATTTTACAATATCGGCTCCCGTTTGAGTTCAAAAGATTAATTCTCGCAAAAGCTGTAGAAATGGAAGATAATGGCCTTAAGGGTTCCGTCTGCCTGTTACTTCAACTGTGTTGCAGATTGTTTGAAATACTGTTTTTTTGACGAAACTGTTAAAAGTTCCTCCAATATGTTTACCTACGAAAAGACATCATACCACATACAATGACGGAATGGTACTTTAAAGTAAATATCATTCTGGGTCTCTCCAATATAGTTAACAAGAAGTTACTGATAAATGAGTCAACTTTCCTCAACATGGGTGCAATTAATATTTAAGTAATTTTTAATATCTTAGTTGGTAGGTAGAACGTGCCTCGTTGCAAGCAATAGAATTAGAGATGAAAACAGAAACATATGCAATAGTAGTGAGAAAATTACAAATACACATGTACCTTACCCGGAACTTGAACCCAGAAAACCTCTTACCCTAAGCTAGTGAGCAATCATTTGGATCACTGAGGTCGTATTTGAGCATCAACTTCGAATTTACTCAGTCTAATATTTCGAATGATAGGGTTTACTAACCTATAACATTTGCAGGGCCATCATTTTGAAAATAAGTGACTGAGCCACTAAATTACGTAAATATACAATGGCCTACCAAAACCTCAATTGTGTAAACATTTTGGTGAATATAGGTTGATTGGTACCTGAGATATGGCATAAAATCACTATATTAATAACCTGACAATCTTCATAAATGGAGGACAAAAATTGTATGTATGAGCACATTCGATGATTGTATATTATCAGTACACAAAGTAAAGTTAAATTATATTACATAGTTTCGTAGATATTGTTGTTTCCCGAGATATAACATAAAAACTTTATTTTTATTCTGGTGCTAACTTAAAAAATTGCAGAGAAATAAAAACTGTTTAGACCAATTTAATAGTCGTAATTGTAACTGTCAGCATACAATGTCAAGTTGGAGCGTGTTTCGTTAATAAAAGATACTTATATAAAATATTTATATAGCCAACATTTTGAAAATAAGTGCCTGGTGCCTGATTTACTTAAAACATACTAGTTTATACCACCTGCTGCAGTGATAATTGTTTGCCAAATTTGGTAGAAATCGTTTAATTGTTTACCAAGATTACAAATAACTAATTTTCTCATGTCTCGCTATTTTTCAAAATGGCCGATAAAATGGCTGTGTTAGCATTTATGATACTTTTAATATATACTTTCAGTGTTCCAAATTTGGTCGAAATTGGTTAAATGCTATAGTAGATATACCAAATAATATACCGAAAATATTTTTATGGCCACCTTTTTGAAAATAAGTGCCTAATTAAGTGGATCACTTAAGTTTACCTGGTCTGTCATAGTATTACTTACATGCCAAAATGGATGCTATCTTCCAAAGTGGCGGACAAACAACAATATTCGTTTCGAAATTTAACGCATACACGATGCTCTGCCAACATACAACTTTTTGTTTAAGAAGGTTGAATGGTTCCCGAGATGTTGCGTATTGCCCTAAATATTAGAATGGCCACCATTTTGAAAGTTAGTACCCAGAGTGGTCAAAAACTATAAAATTCGGGTGTATTTACTAAGTAATATATGTATATAATCGAGTTTGGTGAAATTCGGGTGACGCGTCCAAGAAATTTAAAACAATAGGAAAGGAAAAAAAAGGGGGGGGGGGGAGATTTGCACGTACACACACATACATATAAACACAGATAAGAAAATTATCTCTTAAGTCTTTATTTCCTTCGGAAAGTAGGCTTAAAAAAATGTTAATTTTTGACGTGAATAAGTTTTTAAATTTGCGACCATAATGGGAGGCAATCCAGAAAATCCGATGAGAACAAAATCGGGGGATAGAGTTTGGCATTGCAGATCCAATTGCCAAAAGATCACAGAATATCTTATGTTGAGTGAGGACTGAGAAGTATTGCTCACGGGGTTGGGGGGGGGGGAGGGAGGGCCCAATTTTTAGTTCGTTTTGCTTCGTCTCATAACTCCCGCGTAGTATTACTTTTGACTAGGAGAATCTACGACGCTCGTTAGTGTTGTCAAGATCAATCGATCGCGTGTATTAAAACATTTGTGTGGCGTGGTTATGGTGAAATTGTATGCGTTTAGTGAAAAAAATCAAGAAAACTTAACACAATGTCGTATGCGGTTGGAAAAAGCATTTTAAAAGCTACCCAGTGATGCACATAAAACCCCATATGATCGAGTGAAGCGGTGGCGGGAACGTGAAATAAACGTAGACGTATTCATGCAAAAGAAATGGCCGTGTCCCCAACACAGCCAAACATAATTTTTTTGCCGTCAATACGTGTTTTAACACGTTCGGCCACGCATTATTTTCAAAGTTGTAGTCTTGGAACCACGTGATTTTTGGTAGGCGCTGTACTTGTGTTGAGTGCTTGTCTTGCAGCCAGTTAATACACGTGCTGTGTGGTATATGACAGTGACACCAACCACTTGCGTGAAAGAGGCGTAGGAAATACCACAACTCAGGTTAGCCACACACGAGGAAGACTGGGCACTGGCAGCTTGGTGTGTACAGTACCTGCCATAACTATAGTTCCCGTGCATCGTGTGCAAGATCATGCACACGGCGACTGTACGTAGTTTAAAATCAGACCGAAACACGGGGTACAGTCCATTCATGGCCACTTCCAACTGTTCTGAAGCCTGGCTATAGTTCTACTTTCAGGGTATTACTCCGCCTCTTGCAAACAAAGTTTAACTATGTATACCAAATAATATAGGCTATTCACGGTAAGATGAGCACCTTTGAAAGCCCTCTCATTTGTAGTAATAGTAAATAAATATAAATATTTTGCCTTATACTAGCACAGTTTCAGCAGCGGATGCGGCAAGATTAAACGACCTTATCTCAGAACAGCTGAATCAGCTCGACCGACATGTGGAGCATCGCTTCGATCAGGTGGAGAAAGCTACTTCAGAAATATTGGCGATTGTTTCCGACAAAATCGAACAGATCGGACAGGTGGTCGAAGAGATGAGGAGCCTACAAATTACGTCTGAAAACACTGTTAGGGTGGGAAGGGGGGTGGGTGCTTTAACTAGTACTGATATGTAACCTACCGACACACGGAGTCCGGTGCAGTGCACTGCAAACACATTGGTCACCCTGCTTGTCCAGCACCTAGCGCAATTATGAGCCCATTGTTGCATCATCCTTCCAAGCTCTGGGCGGAGTAGCTACCCAAGTTCGAAGGAAAACAGGGAGAAAACCCCGAAAGTATTCTATTAAAGTTTGAAGGTACTCAGTGTTGTTTGGCCTACCAAACAGCGATATGCTACGCTGCCTAAATCTAGCACTTAAATCTGCTGCATGGTGGGAGGTAGTACGCAGTACAGTGACCAGCTACTCAGAGTTTCAGCAGAAACTCCTCGGCCACATATGGACTACTATGGTACAGGGGAATCTATGGGCACACCTGCATGCCGGACGGTTAGTTCCAGGTAATGGCAAGAGCCTGGAACCACGCATCTCTGAAGTCTATGACAAATCCAGACATCTGACTCCACCTGTCAGCGACGACAAACTCGTCGTCATGGTACTGCATCAGCTTGCAGACCCCTACCAAGCTAATAGGACGGGCAGCCAAGACAACAACTTTGTGACGTTCAGGGAAGGTTTGCTAACTTCTGACCAAATAGATCGCCTGCAACGCCAGTAAGCGAAAAGAGACGGAGGAAAACCTGGACCATCTGAAGGCGTGGCGGGAAACCAGGGAAACCAGTCTCACAATTTTCGTGGTGACCACAGATAGGAGCAGAACCACCGAGTGAGCACTTTTCAGGTGGAGTATTTTGAACCATATCAAACGTACCAACAACATAGCCGCATAGATAGCTATAGTCTATTCACAGTTTCTTCGACCTTTTTGAATCAAACCTTTGAAAAATCTCACCATGTATGACGTGTTTAGTTATTTCCTAAATGCGCCCTGTATCACAAGCGTTTAATACTTGTGTTCATAAAAGAAATTTTTTTTCTGTTAAATTGAAATGTTATTCATATTTTATCTATAAATTATAATGCTTCATTTATAAATAATCTGAATAAAAATCAGGGATAAAATAGGTATTTTGGTAGTGTCTAGTGAGAAATAGTCCTTATACAGAATACTGCTAAAACTGAGTGCGCACGAATTTGGTGCGTTGTCCCCCTGGAGTAATAATCAACTATAGTATTCATACCAAGGGAGGAAATACAGCTCCCGCCGAAGGCCTTGGCGGGGCCGTCGTTATCGTGGAGCCAGAGACGAAGGGAGAGATCGAGACGGATAAAGGTCAGGCGAGGACCGAAGCCTACGATCACATCACCTGTCATACATCTGTACTGTACACCCGCGGTACCCAATGTGGGGCTCGATCCCACAACCTTGAGATGAAGTCTCCTGCTCTACCGACTGAGATAGCTGGGCAAGACGTTGACGTTAATTAACTACGACCCACAACACTATCCTAACTTAAAGGAGGTTCTGGACCGTCCGACCATTCACAGGGCTCCAAACTAAAACAAAAAACTATTCAAAATGCCACTCCAACGACCTCATCGTCTGAAAACCATAGCGTTATAGTTCTCGAAACGGCTAATTAACAAAAGAAATAATCAGAAAGGATTACAAATATGTGTTACCATAAAAAAAGTAATACTACACCACAAAAATCGAGCAAATCCCAGATATGAAAATACGCAACAAAAATAATACTGCCATCTAAGAAAACAAAAAAAAAAAAAAAAATTGTAGAATTTAAATATAAAAATGCGAAATACAAGTTATGTGTTAAAATGCAAAAATGAAATACTAAGTATTTACAAACGTCAGAAATTACGTGTACTACACTAATATAGCCTATACTTAGAGCTAGTGATTTTTCGCGAGGAAATATGAGTACACAATACTGTAAGAACCCAACAACAGTTTATCTATTGCCGTTTGTAGCTGTCTGCTTGAGAAGGCGTTTTCATATTTGACCGGGTGACTAAGAATTCGGCAACATCGGCACTGCTCCTACGTGATTCGTGTGCAGGTAGTTAACACGTGTCTGAAAGTTATTCAGCCAATCAAAATCGGTAGACAACCCTACAGTATTTTGAAATATAACTTGTTTGCAGGTTTTGAATACTTATGAAACAAACCTTCGGAACGTTTCCCTAATATTAACGGATTTAAACTAACATAAATGTTGAGTGGCTTGTTCCCAATAATGTTGGCAATGAATTGGAAATGTAGTTCCCTTTCTTAGCGTATTACTAAGAAATTATATTTAAATTAGTGGGAAAGATTATTAACTTCTTTTATTTCGCAAATTTTACGTTATGAATTGGCGTAGTATTACCGTATTTTATACTAGCAATTTCACAGCGTTGTTAATTTGAGGCATAGACACTGGTGTTTAGGCTTAAAGTATTCATTAATTGTAGGTGAGACGAAGTTATATACAATCGTGGCCTTGAAAAATGTTCAATTACACGATAAGCGAATATAACAATGATCACCTGCAATTCGCAAAAAAAAAAGTGTCCTATTCTAAGGTGTTGTCTGAAGTTCATTTATGTTTGATATACATGCCAGCCGGTATTTTACTGTAGTGATACAATATTTTTTTTTGTTGTTAAGTGCACAAACTTTAAATTTTTACAGTAAATATCTTCGGGGATTTGTAAAAATGTTGGGATTATTACAAGTGAAATTCGGTTAAATTGATATACTTTTGCCTTGCAAAGTTGGGAGTGGAGCCTTGGAAGGAAATAAGAGGAATGGACAGTGCGATATCCACTTCTAAAAGTAGTTTCGAAACATGTTTTCCATATCGGTATCAGTGCGATATATCGCTCCCAGAGAGTACTGAATATCGATGGCATATCGCAAATGTCGCTTATATTGATATCGCAGATATCGAATATCGGCAATATTGATATCACTGATATATCGATATGCGATATATTGATCTACAATGTTAAACCAAATCACAGTTGCAATATTTCAGAAATGTAGTTTAGCTATCGATGTATCGCCATATCGCAGAGCTGTAGAAGAGAGGCGGCGATAAGAGAGAGTTGTCGTGGTGGCTGGGACAGCGTGGATACGGCGCTTGTGTGTCATCATACCGCGAACCTCCAGCATCCACGGGGCCACCACAGTAACAGTGACCCAGTTCAGGAATGGCGCTTCCTTGTGCCTCTATTCACCTGATCTTTTGCATCGCTTCGTTTCCCACGGCACCAACTGTTCCCGATTCCTCCTTATTTTATGCACTGCATTATACCATCCCCTAAAAATAAAAAATTATGGTACCTAAATAAACTTTGGGGGGGGGGGGGGAGATTCGATACCTGGGAGCAATATATAAAACACAATATGACACATTACTATTGGATGTTCCGAGTTTATTAAGAACTTTTGAAATCAACCGTTGAAAAATGTCACTGCTCCTACCTGCACATATTTTAACAGGCACGCTAGTGATATGCGCCCACGGAAGTTGGCAACAACGAAGGAAAAGTAGTTCACGTCTTAGCAGTGAACTAAATGTTTTGAGTAAACATTTGCGAATACTGAAGTGATAATATTTGCTTTATACTTTTCTTATACACGTTGAGTGCAAGAATGAGCAAATTTTTAAAATATATACTTTTCTTATAATTTTACAGTTTCATTTGACCGACGCGACACACGTATAAATTGATTGAGTACACGACAATGATAATATTAAATACTGTGGAATAATACACAATGTATATACAAGTAGATCTTCAACAGGGTTTTTAATAGTGCTCAGTTTATTGTGAACAGAGAATTTCGAAATTTTTGATAGTATAACGACCGTTCACAATTTGATTGTAATTACAACGTAGACGACGTCGTATTTATTGTTATATTATTATTAATTTCTGAGGTATTTTTAATAATAAATTGGCAGAGATAGGAACATTTCGCGAGTTCATTTCAGGACAAGATAGAATTCAAACACGTTTACACTGAAGTTGACTTTGCAATTCGATCGCATCTTATTAGGCACGCCCTGGACGACTCTGAGCCAATAGCACACTTTCAAGGAAACAAGTAGCGAGTGCTATACTGGCAGGTGTGAAGTAACACTGGCAGCTCTATGGGGCAGCAGCCAATGAACAAACATTTGTGGTTCGAGTACACACATGACTGCGGAGTTTAGCCTACAGGTAATTGAACTCGTGAATTTTCCTATCCCTATAAACTGGCCAACAACAAAAATGGGAGACAAAAAATTTCGAAAAAATGTTCTTGTTTCGTCGTATGGCATTGAAGCAAACTTCCAGGAATTTGTGCGGAAGTATATTTTTGTGTTGGAAGTAAACCCAGAGTGCGCGCAATCTATATGCAAGCGTCTTCTATGGCGAGGAAACAAACCAAATTGCTGCGCGAAGCAACTTAGCTTCCACAGTACAGACACACACCCTAAAGGCCATATTACAATCTACCAGATTCCATAAACGTTTGAGCAAGGACTGCCACAGCGGTTGTTATACCAGATAAAATGGCACCCATCATGGCATTTGTTGTCTCGTGCAGCGAGATTTCATACCGGGTTTGTTAATAGGTTAGAACCCCGGAATTTTCTCAGATCCATTGAACAACAAGCTAGACTCCACAATCCTTTCTGTACTCGAGCCTCAGTAAGTTGTTCATTGGCTGTTGCTCTAATTTTACACCAGAGCAGATGGCACGGTATTTGGTCCTTGTTTCTTTGCAGGTTAGTTAATGGCTCTAATTCGACCAGGGCGTCTCTTACAAACTGAGATCAAATTGAAAAAAGGAAGTCGAATGTAAATGCGTTTGGAGTCTATCTTGTCCTCGAATGCATTCGAGAAATTTCCTCGTCTGTAGTGACAGTGCGTCCTCTATTTCCCGCGGCAGGTTCCATACCAACTTTCGTCCCTGACCAATCACATTGCAGTCTCGTAGCGTAGGGCGCTCGCTCTCCCGTGGTTGCTACTTGGAGCCAGTTGATGAAGAAATATAAATGGATGGTTCCATTTTGATTATATGTACGTCACGTTTAAACTCTTTCAAACTGACTTAAAATTCGACGAACACGAATAATATTGACGATGACATATTTCGATCACTGTTGAATCCCTAGTAAGTATTTAAACCATCACATACACATTGAATTTTCAAAAGGTAAAATGTCACAGGTGGCTTTATCTAACAGTTATTAGAAGACGAAATTGTAACAACGCGAAGGACAAAGCTAGATAACGGTACTGCCAACTTTATACCTAGTTTTTATATTGCTGTTCAAGACATTATTCTACAGTGCTGTATCGTAGCACAGCCTTATTGAGACTTTAGTGCGCGTAATGGTTTTTGATATCACCAACTATCGCTATATAAGTGGCCTTCCCTCCTTGCTGAAATGTTGCACGTCAGTTCAATGTTGCGCCTCGTATACGCGTGCTTCAGCAAGTATATTGTTCGCGTATACAATTCCCAGAAAAAATAGAAAAGAACTTTATCCACAGCCGCCACTTTTTAGTTTTATCCTATTTCATATATTCAAAGAGAGAGGATAAAATGAATAAAACAGTCGAAAACAGCGTCCCATTTACCAAGATATTGAAACACTTTTGATAATTCACTGCCGTACTTAAAAATACGCGCTGTTACGGCGAGGGATGGATATTAAAGTAATGGATTCAACAGTATTCAGTTAGCTGTGTACCATCTAGAACTCGTACCCCCCTTCCCAAACAACCACCATTACAAAAAAAAACGGCAATGCTCATAAATAATGTCCGTTCGGTTTCCGACTCGCTCCCAGCAACAGTTACGTAGTTGTAATGCTCATAATTGAACACAGAGCTGGTTTCCGGTAGTACAATCGCAGCAGTGACGTACATATCAGCTGGCTGCATTGAGGTGGCTCCTGTCACGTGATATTCCTCAGGTCAATTCCTTAACCATTGTCAATCTGTGACTGCCCCAGAAGTTTGGGCCAGAATTTTAGGTTTTCATAATGAATAAAACCGACATACTAGTATATTATTTAAACATTTAAATGTCGATAACGGTATTAAACACAGTCAGATTATGCTATTAGCCAGACCCTTATGTACTTCTTGGATGGTTATACACAAGTAAATGACGCATGGACCACGAAATGAAGCACTCAGGAGTTGTTAGTCACATTCTGGGGTGGAATTTTTGCTAAAATTTGAGTAGAGAGAGAACGAAACAGCTGAAGTACAATTGAATGCTACATCTGGTGACTGGAACACCCTGATTGAAAATTAACATAACAGGTTTTACGCATGATTGCGTGAATATTGTTGCATTCTTTAAAGCGTGTAAGACGTAGCACTCTAGTTTTTATTTAGAAAACAAATATGTAATATTTACTTAATTTATTCAACATTAAACTATCTTATAAGCAGGAG